CTGGATCTCCAAAATTCCACTATTTAGGTATCAAATCTCTTGTTTGTGTCGATAAAGATTCCTAGTACCTGTGTTCCCTTTACATTCTTGGAACTTGCAATTGCCATCACTATTGCAATCCTAACACGTTAAACTGGCAGGTTCGATGAAGAAATCTGCAGGACAATCTCACTATGCACCGGTATGCAAAGTTCAACGCTGGCAGGGCTGCTTGCAACTCAATTCCTCGGGGGCACTCAAGCAGTTCCACCTGCATGCTCCGTGGTCGCCATGGCAATCATGGGTCTCTGTCTCGCATCATTCTGGGGCAGTGGATACCGGATCAGAGATTTACCCTCTCGTCTCATCCCCCGAGCTGGTTCTGCTGTCAGACCTTGATGACTGGTAGTAGCGTTTGTCGTCCCGAGCTAAACTGGTAGAAGGGCATCCAAGACAAGATTGTACGATGAAGATAACCATGATAGGAGGTAAGACCTCGAGTAAATACATTCTGTAGCAGAGATATATACTAGGTTGTGTTAGGGTAATGAAGGAGGAGAGACTATATATTGACTGAAAGTGTACAGTTTTCTCCTATTTGTACTTAGGCTGTTAGCCAGTTCAGTTTTTGAAATAGAAATGCATATTATATGGTTCTAACTGTGCAATATTGTGAGCTCAGTCCAGGGACATTGTTCATTGCACAGACTTGATATGTTCATCATTATTGAGCCAGATATTCACTGCTAGCTATCAAACTTAGGTTCTGATTGCTTGCGAGCTTATAATTGAAGAATGTTCATTACCGCGTAGCTTAATGTTCATCGATATATAATGATAAACATAGGCCCTATTTGGTAAAATATTAGCCTATCAGTCAATTTTGACTTATTTGACAACTATTAATTGTTTGACATGATTAAAAAATCAACTCCAAAATGCTAAAATTCAAAAAGTTACTCAAAGCAGCATTTTCAATTAACTTTTTGAGAAAAGAAATTATACCAAACAGCTAACAGTTAACAGCCAACTTACCAAACACCTTCCTACAATCAGCTAATGTTATCAATTAGTTATACCCTCTAATCAACACAATCAGCTAACAGTTAACAACCAAACACCTTCCTACAATCAGCTAATGTTATCAATTAGTTATACCCTCTAATCAACACAATCAGCTAACAGTTAACAACCAAACACCTTCCTACAATCAGCTAATGTTATCAATTAGTTATACCCTCTAATCAACACAATCAGCTAACAGTTAACAACCATTTATATGAAGGGAAAAGTGTAGTTCTAATTGCAGCTTTAACTATAATTAGTAACCCGTTCGGCGATGTAAGGGCTGAAAGTATTCGACCTGAACACTTGACCTCAATGCACGCCATACAACATCTAATCTAAAGATTAGATTTAAACCTAGGATTTGTTCCCGATCGTATTCGACAGAGAAGATAGCTAAATCGATCAGGAATAAGACCCTTATCATCTGCATTTGATCCTCGAGCACTAACCAAACGACGTGCGGTCACATCACATTAAGTTGTCGACCTCGTCAAGACACTTGGCATAGTCACCATGCCTCCTAACCCTATAGCATCCACGTTGAGAGCATTTCGGAACCTCGACATGTGTCTCCTCCGATCCTCCCGGGCACATTAATTACCTTGAAAAGGGGAGAGACCATTAACTCAAAATGGACATTCCCAATTATCCCATTCCCTTATTCCATGATCCTAAATATGTGGAAAATATCTAAAAAGTGTTCATACGGAATTTCTACGTAAATTTACGAAATTAAAACGGTTAGAAGGTTAGAAATGATATTAGAACCAACAAAACCACGCCATTTGCATAATTGCATCGGATTAATCATTCTGACCATAATTATCCAAAAATATTGCCCAACTATTCTAATCGTTTTCCTATACTTACCCTAACCTTGGTTCATAGCCACAACTTCCATGTATTTTCCAACATCTCTCTCATCAATCACCATCGCCCATCATTATCAAGACAATCCAACACGCATGTATACAATTCAAGTTACTGTAAGACTGCCCCGACAAAACATTTAAAAAATCTTGTATTTAAAATGTCACGAATTCAATTTTTATTAATACTTCTTTAGTTGATCGAGCTTATCGTATATGATTTTATATTACTTCTCTTATGGAGTTTATAAACTATTATAATAGATAAAATAGTAGCTGCAATTTTTCATCATAATACATTATTTACTAATCATTTACTAATCAATCTTTATATTTCGAAATATTTTACCAAGTACCAACTATCCCTATAGCTAAAAATTCGAATTCCATCAATCACTATTCAAGTTATAAACATCTTCAATATGTAATAAATTTTAATTAGATATACTTAAGTTTGACCCTCATTTGACCAGGAATCTCATGATTATTTACATAAACTTCACAAACTATTGTGTTTGGTTTGCATGCAAGTTTGTAGAGAACACGGAGAGGCATTCAATATTATATTTATTATTTGTAGATATTATCTGCATTATTTGATTTAAATCGATGTAATTTTTCGTTTCTTGATCATATAATTAAAAAAAATACAGGTATGCATCAAAAGGGAGATATAGTTAAATGTAAGTAATATGATTTTCGTATTTGATGGGGTTGTCCTACACGTGGCGCATATGCATTCTACAGTCATGATTGCTCTTTAATTTTAAGTGTCTATTTTTTCCTTCACTCTCATCAGACATTTACTTAAATTGACTGAGATATAACTCTAATTGGTCGAACACTCATCAAGGGTGTTACTAGTTTGTTATGTTAGGATTTAGGAACGAGGGTAGACGACCAGAAATGATAGTTTTTGATCGGTTAAGGTTGACCAATATGTATCGGTTGTGTATAACCATATCAATGATATATAATCCAAGTGGTGGGTTGTGTTTGCCCTGCCCACTCTTGACTGCTTTAGTCGTAAAACTGACCATATCAAAATGTTACGAGTTCAATCCTTGATAACACCTCCTCATAATCTCAACTGAGTTCATGTGTTTGTACATATACAACTTTTAGTTGAGACTGAACAGATTCTTTAAATTTTTCAAGAAAATATAAAGCAAGCTACGCTAAGCAATAATTGTAGGTCGTAGGCAAGCTAGCTGTAAGGCTGTAAGGTGATAGTTCAGTTGATATAATTATGCATGAAACCTCCTCTGACCTCTCCGCTCCCCGGCCCGCCAAGGATGTCTGCGTGGAAAACATCGTCGTCGTCCTCGGCCGACAACAGGCGACAAGAGTGCGTGAAACTAGCGGAGAAGCAGACGACTGACAAAATGTAATGTTTGTATATGATCATATCATATCATATCATTTTCCCCGGCCATCCCGTCGGTTCTGTTCATGATAGATTCATGCATGCAGATTACAGCTAGCTAGGTCAACAACAACAACATAGCCATCTACGACAATTATTGGACTTCAATTCATTCAATTCCATCGATCCCAATCATATCATCATCTATCATCTATCTTCTGTTTCACTGATCTGACAATTTAGACGGCCGTCGTCCTAGTACTTGTAAGCTATGCATGTAGTACTGTCGTCTCATATGAATTATGGGCTGCGGGCGTCGGTGTGACGGTACGTCCATCTAACCATTCTCATCTATCTTAAATTTGTTCCGAGAGTTATTTTGATAACCGCAAAGTTCCAAATTTGACTTCACTAAGTTATTTATTAACTTTTTAATTTGGTTTGTGTTGGATAAACTAAGTTGGTTTATTTCACCTTTGTGACCATTTTGCCCGATATAGTAGGCTTTACCTATAACGCAGGGCACTTTTGAGTAGCGGTTGTGAATGAACTTCTCCATAATTCAAAGAACATTATATTGTGGTATTTGATGAAAAGGTATACTATGATTATTGCATTTTGTTATATATTTTGGTAACTGCAAAGTTCTAAATTTGACTCTATAAAGTTATTTATTACCTTTTTTTTTTTTTTTTTTTTTTTTTTTTTGGTTTGCGTTGAATAAATTAGGAGTACATAAAATAAAATTGGTTTATCTTTGGCAAATTATATCGTGCACCAGGGCAGACAATGCATTCTGTGCGCCCTGACCCAAAACGACGTCGTTTCTCAAAGTTGGGGAGTTGACGCGACGGACATCGTTCCGTCGTCCGTCCAATCCTATTACTGTTTTTTTTTTGTTTTTTTTTTGTTTTTGTTTATGTGTATTATGTTAAGAGTTTATGTGTAAGAGTTTATGTGTATTATGTTAAGAGTTTAGGTGTATTATGTATTATGTTAGATTATGTGTATTATGTTAAGAGTTTATGTGTATTATGTATTATGTTAGGAGTTTATGTGTATTCTACTATACAATTATGTACACGATATAATGATTGATTTATTTCTTTGTGACCATTTTGTGTGGTATGACAAGCATCACCTATAACACATGACACTTTTGAGTAGCGGTTGTGAATGAACTTTCCCGGCCCATAAATCAAAGAATATTATATTGTGGTATTTGATGAAATGGTATAACCCTTTTATACCAGACATAAATTTTAAATTTAATATACTATAAAGAAAAATATCCTTAACCAAATATTAATCAATTCCACCCATGATATAAAACTCGATCAGTTCAAACATCCAATCTCAATTAAATACATTATTTTCAATTTAAACATTTAACCTTATTGTTGAATTAGTGTTCGCTTATTAACTTTTCCAAACTATTATTGATGGAGACTAGCCGGCTTGAGAGTCGAGACATCGTAGTTACATAGGTTAAAGGTTGATTAGAACAAATTCGAATGAGATACTTTATTTTATCTCATGAAAAACTTTTTATTTGTTGTATATACTCACTTATTGATTATATGATAATATATATTCAGGAGAAAATAAAAAATATAATATTATTTATTTTAGTGATGAGGAAACTGATCATATTCAATACTGGATGATGTCTACTGAGTAAACTCCGACTTATGACCATGACGATAAAGGACCAAAAGGACAGTAAATCAATCTAGATTATCCATATCTGATTAAATCAAATCAATAAGGCCAATAGACTGCTCCCACCATTATTCATACAATTGTACAACTTATTTAATCTGCTACATATATTATAATATATATATATGGTACGTACACCATCCATACAACCATCCATCATATATATTACAAGAAATATAAATATATAATATTATTATTAGGTGGAGAATAAATCAGCAATGCTTCTCATGATTTGTACCTGCGACGCCAGACAGGCAATATAATGCGCAGTTTCATCCAGCAAGCTGCCCAAATCCATAACCTCGCCGCCGGGCACCAGCTGCCGGAGCTCTTCCGTCGTTTCATCTCTATGGTTTCCGCCGCCGCCGCCCGCCACCGCCACCCTTCTCCTCACCGCAGGGCGGCGAAACCTGAGAAGCTGGGCGCGGCTCCACGCCCGCCTCGTCCCCACCGCGGAAGCCATGGACGCGTAGGCGGCGCGCTTCACGTTCCGGCATCTTCTGTAGTACGTAGTCATTTCCTTGTCGTCAGGCGGCGGCGCCGCCGGAGATGTAAGGGCGGTTGGGGTCTGGCGGCGCGTGGCGGCGAGCCTGAGCCTCCTCAGCGCGCGGAGGAAGCGGTGAGTGAACCTAGTTTGGATGGAACAGCGATTCCATTGACGATTAGGGGAAGCCATTAAAGCAAAGCTTTTTAGGGTTTCTGCAACTAACACTATATATATATACAGATTGTGTGTGTATATATATAAAGATTTTGGTAGTGAGAGAGAGGGGCTTGGCTGGTTGAGAATGGAAAGACAAAAACCAAAATAAAATTGATGATTCCAGTTCTGACTACTCATGCATGCATATCTCCTTGTATATAACAAAAAAACATGCCTTAATGCAGGACAAAGTTGTCAAGAAGTAACATGGGTAGAGAGAGAAAGAGAGAGAGAGAGAGAGAGAGAGAGAGAGAGAGAGAGAGAGAGAGAGAGATGATTAGAAATGGGAGGTGATGAGAACACAACACTGAGATGGGGTTCTTAAGAATCAATCTTTAATGGGTGTTTGCTTTATATTAGTGGTAGATGGCATGTATATGTAGCAAAGAGGATCGGAGGAATATATATAATATATATAATTAATCAAGCTCAAAATGTGTCTAGTCATCAACCATATATTTATTTATGAATATATTATTATTATTATTATTATTATTATTATTATTATTATTATTTTGGCATAATATTGGTATATGGATTATTATAGAAAAATTTCTTGTGCCTTAGCTTCTACCAAAAACGGAAAGGGCAATCAAGGGTTTTTTTTTTTTTCATTGAAAAAAAAAAAGATATAACCTTTTATAAAATTAAACCTCTATTTCCTTTGGATTTTTATTTTTTATTTTATTTTTACATAAAGGCACACAAGTAAGAGCCGCCAGAATCTTTCTCATATATGCGTATATATATATATATATATATATATATATATGATAGAAATAGGATAATGGATATATACTAACCCGCGGCCTAAACTAATTACTGCGACCAAGTTACGTTCAAACGCTTTAATATGATCCAAATTAAAGGCATTATAACCTAATCCGAAGTCCTGAACACACTACTTTGGGTCAGTTCTTAGGTAAGACTCAATTAACTTGAGATCAGAGACGACGACGACACCGACCTAGCTAGTGACTTGAATACTAGAAAATACCACATTGATGACCATGCATATATGTTACATATATATATAATAGGTTGGGGTTGTGAACCTTAATTAACTACAAATCAGACCAATCACCTGTTGAGGGTTACCTTGTCAAACCGTCAATAACATATATATTATAAGTAGATCGTTAGCATTAAAAGAATCGATCAATTCTTCTTGAGTTAATATAAGATTTAATTCTACCTGAGTTCCCTTGTCTTTAATAGCAAGGTTATTGTTTTTGCCATTTAACATCTTAGACTATTATCTCATCATGACTTTTTTTATTATTAGCAAGGACATTTTTTTATCTTTTTATATTTTCTTTTGTTATTTTTACGGTTTCAAGCGGTTTAATTGGTTAGGACTTTACTAAAAATCGGTTGAAAAATATGATTACTAAAAAAATACCTAAATTTTTAAACCAATTAAACCGGAAAAATAACAAAAGAAAAATATGAAAAGACAAAAATACCCTTACTAAAAATAAGGAAAGTCATGAGAATGACTAAAAGTGTCTAAAAATAATAGTCTGGGATGTTAAATGACAAAAAAAAATCTGAAACTAAATTTGGAATTGCTCTAAAGACAAGGGACCTCTGATGGAATTAACTCTTAATATAATTACAAATCATATAGTTTAATTAGTTTCCAAATTACACTTAGAAACATGAGATATATATAATAATGAATAGAGGGTGAGGATTTGATAACAAAGGTAGACATATAGCTAACCATCTTGGTTGGCGTGAATGGCCGTACACTCTCGTCCCTTAAAAGAGGTCGGAAGTTTGAACCCCTTCTTGTATAGAAAAATCAATATTATATGGTCAATACTTTGCCCCTTAATTAGACTAGCTCGGTGTAACCGAGGATTAGGCTGAATTAAAAGTACCTTATACAGTTAGAGTCTGCTCAGGATAAATATATAGGTTATAGCCTTATAGATATTAGATGCGGGCATGCATGAAATGATTATCAGGGTTTGGAGTCGGAAATGGCTTATTATGATCAAGTTTTTGTGTTGTGGACCTGCAAATGCCCAACCACCATATGATCGCACATGCTAGCTTCCACTTTCTGGTTACCCCACTTGCCTGCTGGACCTCCTTTTTTCTTTAATTTTATTCTCTTTTTTTTTTTATCCTTCATTTTTCCACTTATTACCTTATTTTTGGTTTGTGTTCATTATATTATTAAGCTTATACTCCAAACTACTTAATTAAATGTATGTCATTGCTCACGTCTTAGAAATTAGTGGATCGGATGAGATAAATTGTGAGAGTACTTCAACTAATTAATCTACAAGTCATACCTAAATACATGTACATTGGCCTAGTGTCCAACCATGCACCCTACGATTGTTAACAAAGTAAAACTTATGAAAGTATTTTGAGTTTGTTGACTAATTGACGAGTTATATTCCGAGAACTTGTGTTGCATTATTATTGTTATATGTACGTGTATGTACTCGTCATAACTCATGTATATACTAATATATATATGTATAATCCATGTACGATACCTTCGTATGTCATTGTTGGGTAGTTAAATAGGTGGAACCTAAAACCCTCATGAAGAAAATAAAATAATAAAAATGTGATCACCATTCAAAGAGTAAGTAGACGTGGTGAAGACCTTTTTTTTTTTTTTTTTTTTTTTTTTTTTTAAAATGCTATTGACTCTATTTGATCATATATATACTTTGATTATATATATAGGGTTGATTTAATTTGGTTCTTTAGTTATTATTAAAGTGGTAAATTTAATTTTTTTTGACTTGTTATTTGGTTCACGCTAGTCCGAAACCTCACCGAGCAAATCGTAGATTAGTAGTGAGGGAACATGCATGCATATATGTGCGCACTTATAACTAGATTGTTGACTAACACATCACCGCTGATTGAACCTGTTTACTACCGGAAATCTCACTATTTTCGTTCAATTTAACCATTGGACGAAAATGGGTACGGTGTTATTGGTCGGAAAATGAGTTTTCTATCAACATTTCGATCAAAGTGAAAATTCAGAATTTTCAGCAATAGGTTGGGGTGATATATAGTAAGATTTCACAAAACGCAAACAGAAAAAAGTGTGAAACCAGTATATATAAATACATTGTTCCCAAAAGATTGAATCCTCAATCCCAAAGACTATTGACATTTCGACCTGACAGTACATATAAATACATAAACGTGATATTGATGACATGGGCACTTAAAACACCACAATGACCAATTAAAAGTTACTTTTGACAAAATCTAACATAAAGATATGCTAATAATCAAACATATCATTCTAATAATAATAATTTAAAGATTGAATTGATATCGAAAATAACTAATGAATTGAATTGTCACTACACTCACAAGTGTCACCTCTCTAGAATAAAGCTAGTGTCATTGGAGTTGAATAAAGTCGGTTGTGAAGTAGCATTGATGATCAATAATATTGACTTTATTGGTTTATGGCAGTTGAAATTCTAAATATGTATATCACCCTTTTATCTTTGTTTATCCAAACATATGAAATATCATTTCTATTGTGGGGGATGCATAATGCACCTTTATCCTATACGGAAATACCCAGCTGACTCAGGAATAGTGATCCGATAAGTAATAAGAATAATTTTGATTTTTTTTTTTAATGTGGTTGAGTGAGTGGAATATGATTCTCGTATTTAAAAATTATTATTTTAATTTTTGCTAACATATTCTCGATCGAATTTGTCACATAAAGTTGTTCTAAGATGTTTTATTACCTGTTGTGTGTGAGATTTGCTCAGTGCATACCTTCATGTAGTGAATGTGGATTTTACTTAGCTTGTCACCCAATAAAAAATAATTTTTAATAAATTGTGCTTTGTTTGGATAAAATCATAAAATTAATTACTATTAATCATATCGGGTTTGGTTATTGTCAAGTGTGAATTTAAGTATAAAAATGAGGGCAAATATCTCTTCTTCTTTTTTTTTTTCTATACAAATATGAAATATGTATGAAAGTGGAAAATTTTTCACTTTTGTTACATGCATAGTAGTTAAGGGACCAAAAGTGATTTCACTTTCATACATATTTGAATTGAAAAAAAAAAAAAAAGATATTTGCCCTCATTTTTATACTTAAACTCACACCTGACAATAACCAAATCAGATATAATTAATACTCCGGAGTAATTAATTTTATCCACATGTATGGATATTTGGATACAATTTAACCCCATATTTTCTCCCTAAAATATTGAACTACGATGAACTTGATAAATGACTAGGATCAATCATCACTTTTTACAAAAAAGATTTATACTCATTTGAACCAACCTTATATGTGTGGAAAATGTTTCTTATACCTTATTCCTTGCTAATTTCTCCCCTCCTAAATTTTGTCCATGATATATCTTATAATCATTGAGTGTTGTAAATTGATTGATCCTACCAACTTTTAATATAAAAAATAACAAATTAAATAATACCAAATTATAGGGAAAATTATGATAAAAAATAAAAATAAAATTAAGGATGAATAGCATTGCTCTATATATTGCAAGTTTAAATGTAATGTAATCTCCGTCGTGACTCTCTTTCTTGTCCGCCTCTCCCATTCGTAGCTACCTAATTAATGTTATCCACCCTTCACCGTGCAGCTGTAAAGAGAATATTGCCACCACTTCAACAGTTAACTCCATCGTTTATATATATATATATATATATATATATATATATATATATATATATATATATATAGGGAAGGGATCAGGTACATTTGTTGCTTCCCGTGCGGTTGTGCGGTGGATTAATGTGCGTGAGTGTTATGCTCAATATGCTTCAGATTTGTACTTAATGTGCGTCATGTTAATATGCGTGAGTTTTGTACTTAATGTGCCAAAGTATTGTGCTTAATATGCGTGAGATTTGTGCTTAATGTGCGTGAGTAATAAGAGAATTTTCAACAATCTGGAAACATTAATCCGAGGAACCTCTTGCAGACCAATCACCAGTAGATCAAAATTCTCTGTTTCTTTCCCCTAGTTTTTCTATGTCCTCCCTACTCACCTTCACCATAGCAGAATAAATCAATAAATAAATAAATAAACAAATCTGACATGATGGAATTGAAGCAAACAACAGAAGTTCCAGATTTTCGCACCAAGATCAGTCTGCATAGACCATTGATAAGGATAGAATTTGTGCATGTATTCACTTTGGGAAGCTTTTATTTCATTGTAAACATCAGTAAAGCAGAGCAACACACTATTCACTTTGGGAAGTAGTGCTGGGGATGGGGAAGAAGCTGATAACCATATTTTCTGCTGCATTTTACACATTCACGCACATTAAGTACAAATCTCAGGCACATTAGACACAATACTCACGCACATTAATAACTGCACAACCGCACGGGAACCTTTCACTATATATATATATATATATATATATATATATATATATATATATATATATATAATGAGATTTTTTCAACTATGATATTAACAAATGGGAGGATAATCAGTCCATATATATAGATTATGTGATGGAAAATGTTGGCATGATAATTAGGGCTTGTTGAGATTTCATTTCAATTAATTATACCCCATCATATATTAATAACATATTTCAAGTATTATAAGTTTTAAGTCCAAATTTAAAGGTTACAAACTCCTAAATGTTTGTACACCAATACTCACAAGTCACAAGAAGGTTAAATTCATATTCGACCTGTAACTCGTGCAATGGTTGCTAATAAAGCAAATTTACGATC